AGTCAATTTTCTGAAGTTAATATATGACCCAATCTACAGAACTTTCACCCCCCATTTGATTATACATATATGTATAGATATATGTGCATGTTATCATTATCTGGTTGGGTGGTGTGGGTTCATTTTCTATTATAGAAAAGTGACTCACTGGTCAATATTCCACAAGGGTCAATATTCTATCTCACACTGCATCTAGGGAGGACATAGTTACCATCCTCAGCAAAATGACAAAATGTTACTTATTGTTATTACTCTTGCACGGAGTAATGGACTACTTTGAGAGCCCATATGGAGTCTGTGCAAGGAAAACAGTCTATTACCATCTGGATAAAGCAAAACAAATGACAAGTAGAGACAATGGAAAATGGCAAAAAAAAAAAGGCCTGAAAACTCTTATTCATAGAAAGAGAAAATAATATTGCAAAGGGGAAGCATACAGTTTTTTAACCACACACGAGTGTTCCCATGCACCCAGCCTACAAGCCTCCCACCTATCAGAGTGACTTCTCACATTAGACTAATGCCCTTATTTTGAGCCATGTGATTGTCATGAAGCAACTGATTCCAAGGGGTTAGTATCTGTAATTAGTTCTTTAATCAATATTAGTAAAAAAAATTATCAATATCTATTTAATCATCCAGATACACAACTAGAGGAACAACAAAAAAAGGAACTTCATGAACATTCTTAGCAAACAATCAACTCTACATCTCACCACAACCCATCCAGCCTGCACTGTTTGGAGACCTCACCTTGTGTCCAACAATTGTGAGATAGTCGACGTTCAGGTCAGTGACGTCGACAGGAACTTTCCCTATAGCCTGAGCTGCATCTGTGTGGAGGAGCACCTTGAACAAACCTTCGTTCTCACGTTTCTTGTTTACTTCTGCTAATAACCTATCAGGGAGATGCACATGAAGTCACGAGTTATGAGAGGGCGGAGGAGGAACAATGCCTTATGTTAAGATATGATCTGCGCTTCTGATGATTCGCAGATTCTTAGCCAGCCAAATGCTAGATTTCTTACCACCTCCTCAACTTATTTGATATTCTACTATCAAAGTCTCAGATATACGTTAACCTGACGAACTTACATTTTTCCTAAGTTTCAACCAGATCAAGCTGAAACAGATAAGAGGAGCAAGCTTGTCGTAAGGGAGTCAAGAATGTGCAGCCATTGGCACTTGGTCTGTTTTCCTTCAAGGGGAAATTACTACAATAGTACTCTTCTTAATCAAAGTAAAATATAAGTCTAAACATAATGTAACCATAAATCAATAAATAAATGAACAAATACATAACAAATAAACAAATAGATTTACAAATGTCTATATCTATATCTATGTATACTCATACATATAAAAATATACATACAAATAATTTGACAGATATAGATATTTACCATACACACAAACAATCCAGCAAGCAAAATACTGTGCAGGTTAAATTCCGGCCAGACTACAGCTCTATCAAGCTAATTAACCCGTAGCCGACGGGTGGCATGTACATACATGCCATGACTATTGTGGTCTGAAAAACGGATGGCATCGCATCATGCCCATTCCCACACCATTGGCTCGTCGGACAGAAAAATAAAAACTTTTAGGTGCCAAATGTCACTCACAAACTACCAATCGAGCCGGGTGTAAACAGGGGAAATTGCTGATGCGTGCCAGCAATCCCGTTCTAACGTCCACTTGCCAAACATTTTTACCCATCGGCACTGGGTTAAGAATTCTCTGCATTGATCAAATGCAGTATACATAACTGCTCCCAATGCTATGAATTTACTGACCTACCAATTACAGTAAAGGAGACAAGCAATTTTGCTGAATTTCCATTTTAACATCTCACAGCTTTGATTTTCTTCAACCTATATCAATACCATTTCTGTTCATACATTTGTGTCAAGATAATTACCATTTCATAGCCCTCTGGTGTGCATTAACTTTGCAAGTTTCTACTTTCGGCATACTTTAACATTTAAAGTATGCCTGTATGTTTATATGCGATTCTTCCATCCTAATCAAATTATCAATTTGAGGGAAATTCATTTAGATTAGTAAGGCTTTATGAGATAATACTGACATTCAGATTATTTAAATCATTTTACATTGTATATTAAGGAATTATGAACAATATAAATGGTCATAATATATATATATATATATATATATATATATATATATATATATATATATATATATATATATATATATATATGCATATATTTTTTTTTCTATGCATTTAGGTATGTACAATTAAGATAAAGAAATCAGAAGTGTAATAACACACAGACTGGTATCTACTGTTGATTTGTTGGTTCAGTGTGACTGCCTCCAGCAAGCTTCTTGTTACATCAAAATAAGCTTTACATGTAAATTCTCATGAATAATATTTTGAATTCTTTATCAGGATGCTTCCCTCCAGCATCAGTGCATGATACCTTAAGATGCTACAAAATGTCATAAGTTGTACATTATGAAGAGTATTAATTGGTTAATTAATTACAGAAACAGTACTATATGACTGGCACTGGTACTGCCAGTGAAAATATTGTGCATGCCCAACATTCTATATACTTTAAATGTATAGTTATGATAGGCAGATATATAAACACAATCTTAGAGATGTCTAAGTGACCAATACTGATAATGAGCTTGATCAAGTAGCTCATTGGTGCAGTGATTTTTAACTTTTTTTCTAATACGAATAAAAAAACTTACCTGCCAATATGAGCAACGGAGAACATTATGCCTGTCTCGTTGTTAGCCAACATTACAGTGATAAGGCATGTTGACGGCCGGATGGACTCAAGCACAGCCTCAGGTAGGTTTTCAACTCCTAAGTAAGTTACGTCTGAAATGTGTCAATGTTTATAGTTAACAAGAGTGAAATGGTTCCTTTGATAAACCTATATGTTGCTTACCCCTTAAAGTCCTATTTGCCATTGTTGTAGCCAATTGCAAGAAGTCTTATTCGTTATGTTTCTCGAATGCCCCTCAAAAATTGCCAGACTTTTTCCCCCACAACTTTTTTGTTATCAATGGGATACATATCCACAAATCCATCTGATACTGTTTGTTAAGTTCCTTTCAACCACACTTATGATATCATCCTCATATCCCTACCCCCGTAGTTTTTCTTCTAATGCCCACAACCAAAACATATTACATGTGAAAGTTGAAAAATCAGGCCTTTTCTGAGGATGGGGGGACAGAGAAGCAGGTGGGTTTGTAGTTCTTAGGGGTTAACAGACACCTTCATCTTCAAGAGGAAATTTTCTGCAAGTTCTCTAGTGTCCACTGAAATAGTTACTGCCTGTTTACCTGCTTCGATTGCATATCTGTGTGTGAGAGGAAGCTTGATGGCATCATGCTCCACTTTGGTGGTGATGATGTGTGGCCGGAGATGATGATAAATGGGGCTCTCCTGCGACAAACACCACTTGCGGAAGTGTGTGACTGCACAGTGAAGAACCAGGTTGTTTGACTGCAGAAAAAAAAATATATATATCACTTTTATGTAGAGCATTATTCTTTGAGACAGTTTAATGAGCATGTAAGGAAAACAGAAAAAAGTAAGCTTACCCTGATCTAGTGAAAGTGTGAACAGAATGAAGCTGGAAAAGATGAAGCATCCTTACCTCTGTTCCCCCAGACATGAAGAGGACGTCCTGGGGTGTCGCACCTATCATTCTGGCCACATCCTCTCTGGCCTGGTTGATCACCGTCCTTGCCCTTGCACCTTCCTCGTGGGCAGAGCTTGGGTTCCCCCAAGCTTCCTGCATTGATTGCTCCACGGCCTGGATGACCTCAGGGGCCAGAGGTGTCGTGGCATTGTAGTCCAGGTACACCCTCTTAACGAGGTTGGTGCCCGCACTGGAGCCACTACTGCTTCCCGACATTCCACTGAAAGTGAGAGAGTGGACGTCAAACAATATAAAAAGAAACATTTGAACACTTGATTAAGTATATCCTCAACCATGAATTCATAATCTTGAGTGTCTGAATTTTGTATTGCATGGATGGTATCTGGAATGCACTTCCAGGATCTGATCCTTCAAATAAAATCATAAAGCCACATCAGAAATATACTAAAAAATTCTAAAAAGTATAATAATATGTACATTTAGGAAATTAATTATAAAATTATTTGTTCTTCGTAGTCTTTTCATTATGTCTTCACCAATTCTCAAAGGGATGATGGCCTATCATGTTATACTACACTATCCCTCACACTGGGGCGACGCCTTCACTTTATATGTAGTCAAGCCTGCTTTAAGGTGTGGATAGTAACCGTTTATGCAACTAAGTGCTAAAAAAATTCATAAATAAAAATTAAAATAAATAATAATAAAAAAAAACACGGGGGCCATCGCACTCGTGAACGAAGTTCGTCAATTATGATCGGATATTCGTGATTTTTTAATATGTTATACATACACATAAAGTGATAAACACCACCAAGTTTCATAACAATTGGCCAAAAAATAATAAAGTTATATACGAAAAACAGGTTTTTGAACAATCACAACCACTTTAAAATTGCACTTATCCATTGAATAAACTTGTTGAAAAAATTACCACCTATAGTCTAAAGCAATACCTATAATTTGCAAAGACCGGAGTTTTAAATTTTGTTTTAGTTTAGTGGGAATTTATTTTTTTCTAAATGTCCAGTCTTATGAACATCACAATATGATATATGGACTACTATTACCTAAAAAGAAAATTTTCTCTAACAAAATCATCGCAAATATATTCAGCTTTTAAATTATCCAAACCCCATTAGAATCGCCCAGGTATTTATGGAGCCTTTAAAAAATGATGACAAATGTTGACAAAAGTGTAGTTTTGAGATACGGGCTCCGAAATTTAGGAAACTTTTCCCACAATTTTTTTTTTTTTTTTTTCCCTTTAGAATTCTAATCTCTGTGGCAATCTTGCTGCATTCTATGGCATTCACATGGTATTCTGAAGTGTAGCTGGTACATTGTCCACTCCTTTTGCAAAGTACTAATGGTAATAACTGCACATAATTGTGGAATTACCACCTGTCACCACAGGTTTTACAGTGCCTAACCTGACCACGTGAGGTATCTAAATGTATAAACAACTATTGCAGCTGTGATTACGAAGTATTTCTGATCATATTACGGTTATTAAATAATAAAATAACATCTACAGTTAGTATTGTCCCCTTACTTTGTTATATGGGCCTACCCTGCAATATGGTGTCATGGAGGTATGAGCTGGCAATCTTTCTCTCTGATTTTCTGGTGGAGTTTTGTCTCCCAGAGCCCTAGTCTTGACGATAAGCTGATGGGTAAACAGAGTTGCCAGCTAGCTATGAGTATATTTTCACTGATGCGACAATGTAAACATCGGAGCGGGAGGCGGGTGGAAGGGGGGGTCAGAGATTTAGTTATAACTCCTTTAATTTTACATATTTAGCAAAAATATTACGACACGAGATTGCCAAAGCCCACTAGATTACAGATTTTTCTCAAATTTTCAAGTATTTTTGAAAATTTTCGTCGCAACGCCCCTCTTAAAAGAAGACTGAAAAGCCTTATTCTAACCTTATTTGCTATATATATATATATATATATATATATATATATATATATATATATATATATATATATATATATATATATATATATATATACATATATATAATATATACATATATATATATATATATATATATATATATATATATATATATATATATATATATATATATATATATATAATATATATATATATATATATATATATATATATATATATATATATATATATATAGATAATAGCACAGCAAGAGCTAGAAATAGGGTAATTTTACAATTCCATTGATTTAATTTTTCCTTGGACCTGCAGACTCCATGAGCAAGTAAAGTAAAGTTGGTGATATACATATATATATATATATATATATATATATATATATATATATATATATATATATATATATATATATATATATATATATATATAATATATGTATATATATATAACATGCAAGTGCATTATATATTATATATTATATATTATATATTGTATATTTTGCATTTTGTATATACATTATATATATATATAATATATATATATATATATATATATATATATATATATATATATATATATATATATATATATATGTATAGAGTATATCATATAATACATATTTTACACATACATACATACATACATACACACACACACACATATATATATAACACATACATATATATATAATATAATATATATATTATTAATGTAGTATAAATATAATATACATATAATATATATATATATATATATATATATATATATATATATATATATATATATATAATATAATATACACATACAATATATATCTTTAACCCAACTGCCACTTTTAGCAAGAATACCTACCATGCCTACAGTTATATAAGTTCATTTATTGTCTTTACAGACAGATGGCTCTACAAGTACTTAGTCGCCAGTGAGGCCTACCTATCTCACCTGTTTACCATTTTCCTCGATTTTTTTGAACACCTCATTTACATTATTTCTTTCTTTAATGTTATCAACAATTCAATGATCATAATATCAGAGAGAATAATAACAGTATCATTATAGAGTTAGAAGGAAAATCACATTTCCCGCTATTTCAAGGAGTGGGTACGTCAGGTGCGATCATTAGGGACTCTATGGTGGAAGAGTACATGTGGAGCCATCTGTATTTAATAAGATTCTAAAAAAGCAAAGGGGACCGCACATAAATCTGGGGTGGTCGGGTAATATACATGCATATAAATCTAATACATATATATACAATATATATGTAATATAATACATATAATATATATATATATATATATATATATATACATATGTTCACATATACATATGTACATATATACTTATATACATACAAACTAAACCACAAGCCAAACAATCACCTAAGCATGGAGTAGAGAACACATCCTCATCCACTTTGATAAAAATTTAACTGTCATTACTGGGCAAACAAAAACACTCTTCCCTCAAAAATAAACTTATAACACTGGGATGCATTTTACCAATGGAAATACTACATGTATCCTTATCTACAGATTCAGAAAAGGTATGAATAAGAATTAATATCTTCACAGTGCAAGAGATGTAGTTGAGTGGTTTAGATTACATAATATTTTTTTTCTGATGAAGATATAATGGAAACCTGTAAAATACTTCTTGCACTGTGAAGATATCAATTCTCATTCATACCTTTTCTATATCTATAGATGAAGATAATCTAAAATTCTACATAGAATGTCTCTTTGCTGAACCCATACACTATCCAAGGAAAAATACGAAGTGAACATAAATTTACAGAAATTCACATATGGTTGCCACTGGGCTCCCTTTCGGTGTTCCATCAAAGGCTAATGAACCTTTATATATTCTAGCAAGATAAAACTTGAAAACTCCCTGTCAACTAATCATCATATATAGAATTAG